GGCAAAAAAAGCGCCCGGGGGGGGGGGGGGGGGGGGGAGGGTGGAGGAAGGAAGTGTGCAGCCCCAGGGTTGGGGCAAGTGGCTGGACTTTCCCAACCTTGGAGCTGTGCTCCTAATTTGTACAAACATTTGTTGGATTGGCTAACCTGTTGCTGATCTAATTTAGTTTACCTCCTCAGGTGAATTAAGTTAGATCAGGCTGGCCATTTTTTTTTTGCCCAATCTAACCTCCCTGAAAATCTGTGCAGATCAGCAGTTAAATCAACCTAATCCTAGTTAGGTCAATCTAAGTATAACATCTGCAAGTACCTACAGACATTTTTACAGTTTGCACATTGTTGCCCCCCAAAAAAAAGAAAAAAAAGGAAAGAAAAAAAAAGCTGAGTGACTTTAAAGAATGGTTATTCACCTATCATCCTATTTAACAGAATTGCTCAACAGCATTTAAATGCTGAAGGCATTAAACTAGCGATAGTGAAATCTGTTGTGGAGGTGTAGCTTTTCATGGGCACCCTGAATAATTCTGCTAGCCTCAGGTCCTGTGGTGGCTTCTGTACTGTGCCAGTTTTGATGGGAAAATGCTGTACAGGGAAGGAGGCTGGCACAGAGCAGTTGCAATATGAAATGCAGAGCCCTGACTTATACCATTTGTATGGCTCATCAGATTTAATGAACTACATTTAAAAAGTGGGAAAAATCAATGCATGTAAATTTGGCAATGTTTAATAACTATTTTTAGCTTTACTGCTACTATGTCAGAAGTGGCTGCAAGCTGCTAAAGACTTATTTCCTATTAGTTGACTTTGCTCATGTCAGTGGGGTAAATGGATCAGCTGTCTTGCTACAAGATCAGTAGAAAGAAAACTAGAACTGGTGTTAATCATTTACTAAAGTTCATCTTCCATTTTTGAGCACTGAGGGTTTTTTTTTCTTGTAAAGATGGTGCCAAATTGATAAGCTAACCCAAACCTTTTTTACTCACTCAGGTTGTTTAAACATTTATTATGGACTATACATGATGTGTAAAATTCATGCCTTTGTGGGCAGTTCTTGAGTCTTCATTGTAGGCAATCATAGTAGCTAATAATTTGCCAAACATCAATACTTGCTTAACTTATCACATTTTATCAGGTTAGTTATAGTGTCACACTTCTGGAACATAGAACTGCATACACTGAATAAGTAGCTTCAAAATAAGTGGTTTTAAGTGGTTGTATGACATACTCCATAAAAGGTGATTCTTCAGGGATGTTTCTCCAGTTAATATCAGTCTACAGATTTGCAGGGGTTTGGGTTGTAGCCGTGTTGGTCTAAGGACATAGGCAGACAAGGTTCCTTGGGTGAATTTGATATCTTTTATTAGACCAACCCAAATGGTTGGAGAATAGTTATTAAGCAAGCTTTCAGGTTCAAAAACCCTTCGTCAGGCTAAGGAAGCTTCAGCAGTTGGTGTGGTCTACAGATTTAGCACTTGAGTTTCATTGCTCTGATATTCATAGCAAATATTTGTGAAAGAGATTGGGAAATATTAGGTAGCATCCTCAGTCTTTCGATTAATGTACAGAGAATTTGCTTGTCCCTTAGTATGGTACTTTCAATCTATGAGAAATTCTGTAGGCTAAGAAGAAGTTTTTTCAAACTTTTTTTTCTGTGAGGATAAAAACCACAGATTCAAAATGGTTGCAAAGGTCTCAAAGTGTATCTGAAAAGCAAAGAATAACAAAGTATATCAGAATGTTTTCACTGGCTTATCAGCTTTGAAACTGTCTACATTCATATCCATCAAAGAATCAAAAAATCACAAGTCCCTCTGTTGTAAACTGAATCTGTATTTACTCTGTTTCCACTGAAGGAAAAAGACCCAACACTGGCCCAGGACAGAATGATGACTGAAATTTCAAACCCGATAGAATTTGAACCTAACAAGGCTAGAGAAGTTTGGTTTAACACAGCAGCAGAGTTAGATCCATAATGATTAGGACACAGCTGCACAATCACCTATTGCCTAATTAGATACTGTGTGTGAGTGTGTGTGTGCATGGGAGCAGGGGGGGCGGTGTTGGTGGATGGGTGACTGCGTAAGCTGGTTTTCAACATGGTAGTCCCTACAAGATATTTATTGTTTATGGAAATGGCATCTTCTCCATAAAAAATTGCAAACCCTGGCATGGGATGCAGAAACCTGGCAAACACAAAAAAGTATGAGAGGAATTTTGGACTGGTTTGAAAACAGATGCCTGAGTGGAGATCATGAAGATCATGTGGACAGACAGTAAAAATTTAAACCTTTTAGGAGATGAACAGACAGAGATAGCAGGGAGAGGTGGTGCAGAATAGGAAACTACACTAGCTAGCATAGAAGAGTACAAGCTGTAACCAGGAACTGAAATTGTCCCAGAGTAACAAAGGAACCATATGTGATGGAGACATTTGGGATGCTTCTCAGAAAACATTTGTGCACCTCCTCTATTGTAAGCATGCAATTGAAACCCATTAAAGTCTAAATTACTGGAGAGAATCAGTGCTTTATTGAAGAAGGACCTGCATATATATTAAATGTAATAAATGCCTAAGAAGAGTTATCATTTGGTATAAAATGGAGAGAAAGCATTCTGAATTTTCTGATCATGATGGAGAGGTTATACAAGGATTAGGATGTATTTTCCTATCTAAAACAGATATCTTCAGCCATAAAATACACACCATATACGTGCTTAAATTCACTCTTGTCAATAACTAAAAGGTATAATTAAAAAAATTAGTTTTCAAAATATTAATTATCTTATTAAACTGTGAACTACTTTTTGTGTCACCACACCAAGTTTTATAGGGAAATGCCTACAAAACATCACAGACAATGTCTGGAATTTTTTAAGCAATGTGAATGCCATTCTTACCTTAAGGAAAACAGCAGGATCTTAGTTATCTGATGTTTGTCTATGTGCCCATGCAGGGTGACCCTATGGAACAGCCAGTGGAATCAATGGATGTCAGGATGGGACAAGTATCCCCCTCTGGTTATGAGACAGCATTCACAGCATTTATCTGGTAGGGGGATCAGCAATACCAAATTTTATAATGTTAGCTCTTTGGTACAAGGCTTCAAATTTAACACTCCATTAAGATGAATGGGAAGATTTGTACCATTTCAGCAGACTCCTAAAGGAAACAGCGAATTTGCTTGTATTCTCAAGGCTAACATTTATGTATTTGCAGAAGCACAGAAAGTATGGAAACAGAGATCTTTAAAACATTCTGAGACTATATGAAAATCAGCATGGCAATCCTAAATCCTTAGAATGCATTATCTTGCAAATGCAAAATCATGTTCAAATTTTTGCAGCTGGACATTTGCCAGCAAAGTGGCAAAAGTGGGAAAGATTTTATATAGCTCCTGTACTTATGGTTGTCCAGGCAAGTTGCATCTGTAGAACCCCAATTTTCTCATAGCGGCAATGTTAACTTACCAGATATGGATTTAGTTGGGGTGTCTTCTACCATGGGAAGGGAGAATGCTCTGGAGTTCATCTTCTCACCTTCTCCTTCTGCGCAACACAAGTCTTGGAGCCCCACTCCCCCTGCTCAAGCTCCAACATAGTGCCTCTGCTGGAATCACAGAGCAAGGGAAATGATGCCATGGAACTTAGCATGACCCGCACCTTTACTATGGAGTGAGTCTATGTCTGCATGATTATCTGAATATTCAATCAGTGACTGACAATAATTAGTGAATCAGAGTCCCTCAGAATTTCTGTGGGGTAGGTAAGTATTATCACCTGCATTTACAGATGAAGTTAGGGTATCACAGCATGAGTAAGTGGCTTGGTGAAAATCAAATTGCTGATTTCCAGTCCAATGTTTTCACTGCTTGAATGTGTCGTGTTCCCGCCTCCCCTTCCCCACTGCATGCCTTGAAATAATACTTTCCATAACATTTTGATACTATGGATGTGCTGTTCAATGTTTAGCTCCACTGGAAAATTTAATCTGTTCTTTTTATTGGAGCAACAATCTACTGAAAGTGCACAGATATTAACATTTATTCTTTTTAGCAAGCCCTCTTTACTGTACCACATCTACAAGGTTAAAAGTTTGTAATCTTTCAGCTATTACATGACTCCATTATGACTATAGCCAATGATTAATGTAGGGTTAATAATTTTGTCTGATGGATGTTGGTGTAAGAGACTGACTGTTGCTGCCTGAATCTTTATTAACATACTTCGTTTTGATTGGTTTAGAGAAGAGATTACTGTATGCTTCACCTACTCAGAGCCAACTTTTTTAATAAAAAGACAGAGAAAAAATATACTTTTAGGGAAAATCTGTTTTCTGATGGAATTTACAATGCCCCTTATGGGATGGTCATCTTAAGTCTGGTGTACCACAAATTACTAAGTTCAACCTCCATTTGACAAATACAGTAGTAACTTTTGCTGTAACTATGAAGGGGTAACCCCAGTAAAACATTAGGGATTGGACTAATCTATTTAGCTTTGCTACAAAATCCTGGTATGGTTTAGGCAAGCTGATGAGCTATCAAAAGGTAAAAAAAAATATAGCCTTAAGACTTCTCTTGGGTCTATCTTGTTCCAATTTTAAAAGCACCTTGTTGTAACAGTGTTGGATAGAGGAATTCCTGAGGCAAAATGACATGGATAGTAGGGCTGTGTGAAATTTCACCAGCTGTTTCGTTTTGATGCTGTTTCGAATCATTTCAAGCTTGAGACAGCAAAATTGAAATGAAATGAAGGGCTTCAAAACAGCCTCGAAACAAAACAAGGGTAGTTGAAATGTTTTGAAAACTTCAGAATGTTTCAAGTTTCAAAGCTGAAGCTGGGCTTGCCTGCAGGGAAACAGAAAGTAAGGAGAGGGAGGGGGAAGGAGGGGAAGGACTGCTCTCATATTGAGTGTGTAGCTGGCCACTGACTGTGATCCTTGCCTGAGGTCCCCTCCAATCCCAGTGCTCTGGGGGAGGGATGGAAAAGCAGCATAAAAAGCAGCATTGTTTGAACTGGCCTGCTTGCTGCCTTGGGGTCTGAACGTTACTGAGCTATCTTCCAGCAGCTCAGGAGTGTTAGACAATGAAGGCTACTACTAGCGTTGAGTTGAATGATTTCCTACTTGCTAGCCTAGTAAGTGGGATTCCACAATACCTTTTGCTTTCTTTCTAGATCCTTTAATTTTATTATTATATTCATTGATTTAATCTTTTCAATTTCATAAGTATATTGGATATTACACTATAGAATTTATACAGGAAGGCAGGTACATTTATATATTTTTGTTTCTATACATTTATATTTTGCAGTATATTATAGAATTTATATAGGAAGGCAGATACATTTATATATTCTTATTTCTATATATTTTTATAAAAACAAGACACTGTGAAACACACCATGAAGTGTGGTGGAAAGGCAGCTGGCAAGCCTGTGATGGCGCCAACACCACCAGCAAGTTCATTTCCATATGCAGGAAGGTGGCGGGCTACTTCCACCAGAGCATCAAGTGGGGCAAGATGCTGCAGGACAAACAAGCAGAGCTGAACATCCTGCAGCACAAAATCATGCAGGTTGTGGAGACTCAGTGGTACTCCACATACCTGATGCTTGAGAGGCTGGTGGAGCAACAGAAGGCCATCCATGAGATGGCCTTGCTTGGGGAGATTGGGATCAGTGGCCCCCCATAACAGAGCTGAGTGGGATACCATCTCCCAGTCTTGGTGGTCCTCAAGCCCTTCCTTGAGGCTACCGAGACCCTCACCGCTGGTGATGCCCTCCTTAGCCAGGTGATCCCCATAGTGAGGGAACTTCAGAGTCAAATGGAGAGCATCCAGGGGATCACTGTTCCTGGCTTGGGCAAGCTGCTGTCACCAGACATGCAGGCACTGGTGAGGCGGTTGAAGGAGGGCATCAGGAAATTATTTGATCCTTTGCAGTCCAGTACGGTCCATGTGCTGGCTGCTATGTGTGACCTGAGGGTGAAGGGCAGCATATGCATCAGCCAAACCCTGGATCAGTGGACGGAGGTGCTGGTGAAGAGAGTCAGGGGGGCAGAATGGTGGAGGCAGGGGGACGTGGAAGAGGGGGATCCATTGTCCCATGCTAGCACACCATCCACCAGCTAGTCTCTTCCTCTACCACAGGTGCTGCCAATGTGGGCCAAGGGCATGGCTTCCATGGTGGGGTCCAGAGGCACCAGACCCCACCATCAGTCCGGATCTGGCCACATCTTGGAACACCTGTCCTGTCCACCGACCAATGTTCTGAGTGAGAGGGTGTTCAGCATTGCTGGGGATGTAGTGACACCCCACTGCACCTGCTCGGATCCTGGTTTGGTGGAGCAGTTGGTGTTCCTCAAGGTGAACCTCCAGTTGCTGGGGTTCCCCAAGTTCCATGTGCAGACTGAGTGAATGCCACCCTCCTCACTCCATCCACACCTATTTCCTTTTTTTATTTTTTAAAAGCCATTTAATGCCCTGCTCTCAGAGCTGGAGGGGGCACTCACTGCAACACCAGCCAGCAGGGGAAGAATGTGCCCCTGCTGAGTTTCCATGCCAGGACAAACTTGGAGGTATGAGCTGGGGCTACAGGGAAGGAGGAGGCCCCAGGTTCTGGGCATGACCATTTTAAAACTGTCCTCTGCCAGGGTCAGGGAGGTCTGGTGGAACTGCCAGTGGTGTGGCAGCCCCAGGAAATGGCAGGACCGAGGATCCCCCTGGTGAAAGGCGGCTAGGAGGCACCATAACATTCAGCTACCACACGGATGCACACAGTCCTGGCTGGGGAATGCTTAGGCCTGTCATGGCTTTGACAGGCCTGAGGTTTGCTGGTCGCAGTGGAGTTATAGGGCTCCAGGTGAGCTCAGCTTAGCTGTCTGGAATGCCAGTTAGCAGGTTGAAAAACCCTTCGTCAGGCTGAGGAAGCACTTGTAGTTGGTATGTGTGTGTGCTGTTCGTGGTTTGTAAATTCCCATTCATGATCAGGCCTGAGAGACTGGAGACAGAATGGTCTGTTTGTGAGAAATGTGTCCCCACAGGTAGTTGGGTATCCTTGTCTTTGACAGATTCTGGTGTGCAGTTTGTGGGGGTACTGGAGATTGTTGGCAGGTTTTGTGTTTTGAGCTGTAGGAAATTGCCTTCTGGTGATGAGGTTAGGTTAGCAAGGTTCAGTGCTTGTTTGAATCTACAAACCACTTTTCACAGCCGGGCCTATGAACTTCACTTCATCAGCCTCCTAGGTAAAAAAAAACTTCATGGACTCAATATAGACATTGAAATTTTGACACACTACAACCTGCCGGACATCTGACTCCCCAGGTACGCCCCCCCCCCCCCCCCCCCCAGCCTGTCCTTCACCCCCTGACACCTCCATTTCCATTTTCACTGGCTGGCTTTCTTGCCTGTATTGCATGCCAGGCTCTGGCTTCTTTACTGTTCCTTCCATCTAGGAACAGCAGCACACACACCAACTTCAGGTACTTCCTCAGCCTGACGAAGGCTTTTTCAACTTGGAAGCTTGCTAAGATATATTTCTCTAACTATTCAGTTGGTCTACTAAAATATACCAGGTTGACCCAAAGGACCTTGTCTGCCAGTGCCATGTCCTTAGGCCAACACCCCTAGCACCTGTGCCCAGTCAACTGACTGGAAGGACGCAGGGCCCTGGGCAGTGCGAACATCTAAGCCCAGGGTGGCAGCTGCTGGAGAAGAAGCTCCTGCAGGAAAGGAAAGAAAGGCTCTAGTCTGCGACAGTTGGGCTGCCTGTGATGCTGCTGGTGCTACTGTGCTGCTTGCTTATTACCTGTTGTCATTTAAAATGGTGGACTGGACTGAGGCTGTAGGGGAGGAGGAGTCCTAATTGGGGCACACTACCATGTTGTGTAGAGCCCCCAGCATGAGTGAGGGCACACCTTAACACACACACAGTATCACCCATGGCACAAGTTTTGCTTGTCAGCAGCTTGAGGTGCAGTTTCCCAGAAACCCCAGTGCCTATCTCCTTGTCCCTTGGCAGAC